GGCCATTGAGGGATGAATGGATAAACAAAATGGAGTATATACATACAATGGAATATTATTCAGCCTTATAAAAGAAGGAATTTTTGACACATGCTATAACATGGATGAACTTTGAAGACATTATGCTAAGTGAAATAAGCCAGTCACAAAAAGATAAATACTGTATACTGTATTATTCCACCTACATGAAGCACCTAGAACTGTCAACTTCATAGAGACAGAAAGTAGAATGGTGGTTGCCAAGGGCTGGGGGACAGGGGAGCCGGGAGTTATTGTTCAGTAGATGTGGATTTTCAGTTTGAGAAGATGAAAAATTTCTGAAGATGAATAGTAGTGATGCTGCACCACAATGTGAATGTACTTAATGCCCCCGTTCTATACACTCAAAAATAGTTAAGGTGGTAAATTTTAAGTCACATATATTTTATCACAATTTCTTAAAATATTAAAAATATTTAAGGATATAATAGAAGAAAAGATTCCTGAAATCAAGAAATATGGGGAGGAAAAAAACATCAGAAATCATCCCTCTTCTGGAAGCAGATACTTTAAAAAACTGGCAATGATGCAGACAAAAGCAAAACACAAAGAGAGAACAAGCCAGGAAAAAAATCTCTGTGACCTCAACTGAATAAGTATATGCAGAGCATTTACAGTTGTGTGTCCAACCTTGTTCTCATTATCACACTGCATAAGGAGACTTTTCAGACATTTCTTCCCTAATTGTCCCCTGATGAAAGTTTAAAACCACAGATAAACTCTATATCTGTTTATGTACTATTACGGTCCTTTACAAGGCCACAAACCACTGTAATATCTAAGATATTTCCCTCCCCCAAGAACCAATTTTGCCCTCTTGGAGAAGGCATGATTTACTATATTACCCACTCTAAAAAATGGGTGTGCCATGACAAATAGCAAATTTGACTGAAATAATCACAGGACTAGGGATGCACACATACTAACTGATGCTAAAATGTGTCGAAAAGTCTCACGCCAATATTAAGTTTCTGCACACTACTAAACTTCTGAACAAAAAGTGAGAAAGTTGTTCTTAGTGTCTTCAAACATCTGGAAGTTGAGATTGTATTGATACAACACTCAGGTGACTGACAAAATTTTGAAAAGTTTAATTCAGATATTTGGTATCATGTAAATAATATAGCACTACCACTGCTGTTTAACATAACCATGGCAGAATTTACTTTTCTACATGGTACAATGACATATACAGATCTTAAAGAAAAGCTCCATAATTGTTCTTGTGAACTAGAATTTAAGGAGCCTTAAAATTTTGCTACTCAAAGTGTGGACCTGGGGCCAGCCTATTATCACATGGGAACTTATTAAATATGCAGAATGATAAGCTCCGCCTTAGCCCTACTAACACAGAATCTGTAGTTCAACAAGATCTCCAGATAATTCTCATGCATATTAAAGTTTGAGAAGAACTGCTTTAAAAGACAGCTATCAAAATTCTTCCTTAACTCATCAGAGCATTTTATTTTCTAACCAAGTAGATTAATTACTCCACTCATACTACACAGCCTATAGGAAATGCAAACTAGAAAAAGATCATATGAAATTGTTAAAGAATCAACAGATAGAAAACATGCAGATTTCTATCCTGGGGGCTACATCTGAAACAAGGTAATGCAGGTACTTAACTAGCTCTGCATTAGCAGGGATGGTTGAGAGCAGGTGAATGGGTTTGTGCGGTGCCCACAGTTCCTCTTCAGAAGCAATGGCAGTGGGCTGGTCACCAGAGCTTTGACTAGCAATGCTCTTTCAAGCCTTAGCTCTCTAGCACAGAAGGAAACGTCCTGTGAGGAGCAAGGGTAACAAAGGGTGGGATTTCCCTTTCTTTTTAATCTCAAGTGTTGTGTCCAAAAATGGCGCCTCACATCCACTAGCCCAACCATTCTCATCAGTTCCACCAGATAGCTCTACTCTTGTAGGTATGAAAGATTTTCCTGTGGTCCTCGTAAAATATAAAGGCTTATGTGGCTATCAGTTAAAGCTTTATCAGTTAAATCTGAACAGGAAGTAGGGGTAGCCAGGTGTGAGCTAGAGAAAGGGAAGGACCCTGGGGAAATCAGAGCCCTGGAAAGAGGTTGACCTCTCCCCACAGCACTCTGCTAATATCCCAGTGGCCTGGTGGCAAGGTACTAGCTACAGAGACAACCCCCTCAGATTCAAATCCATCCTCTGCCACTTACCACCTAGGGGATCTTGAACCAATTGCTCAATCCCTCTGAGCCTCAATTTCCTCACCTATGAAATTAGCCTTACTATGTCTACCTCGGAAGCTACTATGAAGGCTAAATGAGATCTTGCTGGTCAACTCCCCAAAGAAGTGTTTAATATATGTTAATTCTCTACTGCTAACTCCCCCAAAGGAGCAGTAAAATATGTTCATCTACTAACTTTGGAAGGAAAGTGTTTTACCTCACAGTCTCAAATTAAAGGAACAGGAAGTGCTTTAATCAGAAACCACATATGTTAGCTTTAATGAGCGGTTTCACCAAAGCCAGAGGGGGCATGGTGTTCTCTGGGAGTCTGTTAAAGATTACATAACTCTGAAACTGCCAGTCAGCAGAGAGCTGAATTCCCCCCTCAGAGGTATTCATTTCATGTGTTCTCCTCTCATAGAAAACAGTGGAAATTCAAACTGGTTAAAAGCATACTAAACCACCAAAATATCTTAGTTCACAAGAAATCACATACAATGCCTAAGGAAAATTCACAGTAACTGAGGCAACTTCAAAAATTGATTTAAGAGATCCAAGAATCTTAGAAATTTTAGAAAACATCCCACTGCCCATTTTGACTACATCAGCCAAGGTCAAGGTAACATTTACACCCCACTTGGTTAGAATTATCTGCCTTTCTCACCCTCAGGCGTTCAGCATCAGGCCAAGTTCAGCCTCCTGATCTTCCTGTTAACCTGGGGGGGAGAAATCAAGAAGCCACCAGATCAGTCAGCTATAAGCCAAAGGGAAATGATTTTCTCAGGAACAATTCACTCCCTCATTAGCAGGCTCTTTAACTTCTGAGAGGGTTTCTTTGGTTTTCTGAGAGCAGGACTTCTTCCAGCCAAAGTAAAAGGAGAAAGGTTTGCATCCTTTCCTCAGTAAGGAAGAGTCTGCATCTGGGCAGCTAAATTATGCTGACCATGGTCACCACCTCTGGGCTGGAAAGGATGCTGCCTAACATCTAACATTATATGTGCTGTGCACTGATTTCTTGTGCTACTCATCCCAGACTGACACTTCTGTGGCCCCAGGGCTCTTCACCTGTACACTGCCCAACTGTGTCTTTAACGTAAGCAAAATGGAGATCATACACTGTATCCTGAAACCAAATAAAGACACTTCAGGATTCTCTTCATGTTTAGATGATCTGTTTGGTTGATCCACTCCTCTATCAGAGATTATTGAGGGTAGTGAATAAGCCTTGCAAATGTTTCTCTCCTTTTACTGTCTAAACAACCTACAATCTAAAGCAAAAAAAAAAAAAAAAATGTCACCTGCCCAGATATTTCTTTAGATGGCAGATTTAAAGTGGGGGAATTTATAAGCACCAAGCGCTTAAAATGTACATAATAAATGTCATCCTCTTTGGGACACACCCTCCCCTTGACAGCCAGTTTACAAATCCACTAATCCCTGTGGAATCTCTAATCCACCCTACCTAGAAATGTATTTTTATTCACACAGAATTCCTTCAAATACTTTATACAGATTGTCATAAATCTGGGAGTCCAGCCATGTCATCAAATTTCAGGGGTTCCCTCATTCATAAAATTGTCTTGTAATACTTGTCTTTAATTTTACAGGGGTAACATAAGAATTAATGAGGGCATTAAATGAGTGAGAAAGTATACCTCTAAATCCACACTCAAACCCGGGAGATTTCTGCCTTGGAGTATCATAGTTCTACATCACAGACTAAAGATAAATTGTTATATCAGATTTATGGTACTTCCATCAGGCATTCTATCCACCTCCTCCATCAGCATCTTAGTCCTTCCTGATCTTTCAAAGCAAACAGATGCGATTCATGGCTATTACCAAGCTATTACCAAACAGATGCGATTCATGGCTATTACCAAGCTATTACCAAGCTAATATCCCAGTTTATTTCCCAAAAAAACTGCCCCTCAATATTTTGCCCCCAAACAAGTATGATCACCCAAATATCAGAGAGTGATTTCAAAAGAATCTGAATATGGGGGGAGAAGCTTAGCATTTAAGATACTTTTTCATACTAAATATCAAATAATAAAAATATACCTTTGTGTTTGAAGAGCCAAGTCATAGAAATACGTAAAGGCAAATCAATTGTTTCCAGCTGTAATCAGCGATAATAAACCCAAGTACGTGAGAGCATGAGAAAGATGATCAGTTTCCTTTTGAGGTTACATGATAAGCAGCAGCAGTTAAGCAGCCTTTTTCTCTAAAACTCGGCGTCTGACCTCGTGGCAAGAAGAGGCCAGCCCCTCTCCCTGTCCCCTTTTATAGCGTCCGCTTTCTGTTCAGCTCTCTAGAGAGCATGGGGGCGGGGGAAGCTAAGGACCTATTTTCTAAAATACAGAATACAATCAAGCGGCCGCTCGAAAGGGATTGCGTGGGCACGGAGGACGGGCGGAGGAGGCGGGGAGGGGGCAACAAAGCCTAGGTTTGTGGATTTTTTTTCTGCATATTGGAAATTCCCAAGCCAAAAAGGTACCAACCCGAGTCCCGGACATTCCCCTCGAGGGCCGGCTCCAAGACCTGGACTGGAATCCCGCAGAAGAATCAGAAACAAATCTAAAAACAAAACATTTTTCTTAGGGATGCCTTTTTAAAATCTCAATAAATCCACACCGGGCGTTAGCGTTTCTCCCTCATTTGATTCACTTTCTCTTCTTCTTCTTCTTTTTTTTCAGACTTTATTTATTTATTTGACAGAGAGAGAGACAGGGAGAAAGAGTACAAGCAGAAGGAGTGGGAGAGGGAGAAGTAGGCTTGCCACCGAGCAGGGAGCCCCATGCGGGGCTCTATCCCAGGACCCTGAGACTATGACCTGAGCCAAAGGCAGAAGAAGCTTAACGGCTGAGCCATCCAGGCGCCCCTCGCCTTCTCTTTTATTTAGCTTTTCTTCTGCAGGTTTTCAAGAAGGGGGAGGGGAGTTGATACTTTCTACAACACAGCTTTTCAAACCATGGCAATCAAAAAGTAGTATCGCTATCATGTGCCTTCAATGACAAAGGATACTCTGAGACATAAATAAAGCAGTGGTTCTATAATAAGATCATGTTATTTTCACGCGGGCAGGGGCAGGGGATAGAGTGGGGTGAATTTAAACAGAGAATGTGAACTATTGCATAACACTGAAAGGATTTTGCCTATGACATTTGGTTTCACTGTGACTCCTTTTCCTTCTGGGACACTTACAACTGTAATCCCTGTACTGCTTCCCAACCCCCTACCCTCTGCAGTGTTAAAATCCAGCTTTATAATTAGACTGGAAATGTCTGATTCTCCAGTAGGAATGGGCATCTAGAGCTAAACACCAGAAGGTCCTTAAAACTTTAACAGAAGATCCTTCTTCCTGACTTCCTCTCATTTAATGGAGACTATTATTAAAGCAAAATATGAGGGGTGCCTGGGTGGCTCAGTCCTGGTCTTAGTGTTGTGAGAGATCCAGCCCTGTGTGGGGCTCCCAGCTCAGTGTGGAGTCCACTTGAGAGATTCTCTCTCCCCCTCTCCCTCCCCCTCTGCCCCTCCCTCCACTCGTTCTCTCTCCTCTCTCTCTCTCTCAAATGCGGGGGGGGGGGGGGGGGGGAATGCAGGTGTTAATTTCCCTGTACTTCTCTCAGTAATTGCTTTTTCCTTTAATAGGGCTCAGAAACAGAGTCATCTCTGGCATTTAATATGGATATGTAAAGGCTTACCAAATATTCTTGTTACACCCTAATGTATCAATCTGAAACTTAATACCTGAAGCCAGGAAATGTCAGTCAATTGGTATTTAATAAAATGATGGTTGTTCAGGGAGCCACCCAGGGCTGTCTGGGTGGCTCAGTCAGTTAAGCGTCTGCCTTCAGCTCATGTCATGATCCCACGGGTTCTGGAATCAAAGTCTTGCATCAGGCTTCTTGCTTCAAGCAGGGAGTCTGCTTCTCCTTCTGCCTCTCCTTCTACTTGTTCTAATAGTAAATAAATAAAATCTTAAAAAAAAAAAAAAGCACCACTCCAAAGCCCTGGAGAGGCAGTGGAAACTGAAATTCTCCTGAGAAGATGAAGCCTCAGCCTCCTCCAGCAATCTTTGAGAAAATGCTTAAAAAGTTCTTTTGTGAAAAAGAGAATCTCTCTTTGTAAAAGTCCAACAAGGTATAGTTGAAAAGGGCTATGTACTCTCACATACCTTGGTTCAAATCCAAACTCGAGTTCCTCATCTATAAAAGGTACCTAATATCACCTACACTACTAGATCATGATCAGAATTAAATGTTAGGGATTAAGCCCCTGAAATAATAGACAAGCAATATCATTTCCTTAGTTCTATCTTCCTTCTTCCCTTAGTTGGTATTTCTCAAAGTGTAGAATACTACCATTGCGTCAGAATCACTGGACACTTGTAACAAAGGTTGATTCCACAATTCCCAGAAGCATGAAGCATGACCCCTAAGTCTGTATTTTTCTCAAGTATTCCAGGTGATTCTCAGACACTCTAAAGCTTAAAGACCATTAAAATTAAACTATCTTAATATTTTTATCTACTTGTTGGTCCTCTTTAGACTCAGAAAATAATTTAAAATCTTCTTTCCCCATATGTGTATTTTATAAATTTGAAGGTGGCCCTCAAGGCTAAGAAAGGAAGATCTTACACTCTCCGTTTTAAGTTAAAACTCCAAATTTTTTCACGCTTTAAGCATCTGTCTTCATCTCTAAAGCTTCCCCAGTCTCTTCATGTGTCCATTTAGGGATAACTAAAACTAGATTGCAATCTATTGTGGCTCAGAAAAGAGTACTTATACTTACTAAACGGCCCCAAGTTAACCTAAACTCATTTAAAATTAATAAGGTAAAGACAGTCAAGTAAAATCGGTAATTCAATTATTTTAAGATAGCGAGTAGGAATGGCAGCTTTTTACTTCCAAGCATGAGAGATTGTGTATACCTTACATTCAAATCAATAAATACCTGTTCTAGATCTCAATTATTGAACTTTAGATTCTAATTAGATTTTAATTTCTAATGTTGGTATGCGATTCAAAATAACAACCAAAAAAGAAACACGTGAAATTGATGGAAGTAACTTCTACAACTTTATAATAAACAATAGCATCCTTTACATAAAATTCAGTTCTTAAAACCCTCAAACTTCAAAACACAAAAATAAATTTCCATTTATAGATTCCCCCTTCCAGTTCCAAAAGTGATTAAAGTATTCATCATGTAAAATTTAGCTGAAATAAGTAACTATCCCCCAGTGCAAGTGTCAATTCGACACACAGATTTTGTGTACTGCTTTCATATTTTCCTTTTGCTTCTTTTCTAGATAAAAGCAGGATATTGTCAATATTCTCACTAGAAAGTTCTGACCAAGGATACTGGCCTATTCAAGCAATTCAGAAAAGATGGATCACTGAAAGAAACTCCTGAGACACAGCAGTCCCCAGTGTGTTACAGGAGCCACTGACCAGAAGCCTTATTAGTTCATCCCACCAAAGATGGACCAACTGTGCTATTCATACAGATAAGCTCAATCTCCTTTACCAGATAAGCTACAAACACTCCACTACCAACCACTTAGGTCAGAACACTTTTCACAGTTTTTAGCATAGTAATCTCCCCTCTCAGGAGAGGCTAATTCAAACACACTCACTAGCATCTTTGGTTACAAGGGCAATACAATGCGTAGATGTTGTTAATAATGGTTCTCCCATGGCTATGTAAAGATTGGAAAAAATCCTGTAGGTAGACATAAATGCATCCTGCATTTTCTAAGCTCCTTATAAGTCTTATATAAAGTCCAGTTCCTTTTGAAATTGTGTACATGTCAATAGCAGCCATCTCTCCATGGGGCCAGCCATAAACTTCCTCTACTGCAGGTAATACGAGTCCTCCAGTCCCCTCCAGGGCAGGCTAGGTCTCCAAGGGGCACACAAAGGACAAGAACATGTCCAGTTGGTTCTTCACAATAACTTCATCTGGATGTAGCTTGTGGGGTAAATAATGAGCCAGGGTCATCTCCCAGGCATCAACAAGATACACTCCAACCCCTGAAAACATCTTCCGAAGGATGGTGTCCAGCTGAAAGTTGTACCAGTCACTGTTGAAAAGGCTCACCTCAGGCCCCAGCTCTTGGGCATTGGCTGTTCGGATGACTACCACGGTCTTAGGACTTCGATCCAGGAGCTGGACCACTGCTCGACGGATATTCCTGAGCCGCCGGATGTACACTTCCAAGGGGAAGGTGCTAAAATGAGACCATACAGCTATGGCAACCACGGTGTTCTTCCCGCCCACGATGCCATTCAGTTCATTTGCCACATAATGGAGCTCATTGCTAAAGACGGTTGTAAAACGGATGGGTGGACCATGGCAGCGGTATTTGAGCAGGATGTTGTGCTTCTGGTCCACCGCAAGGAAAGGACCCACATTCTTGGGACTACCCAAGTTAAACTCCACTAAATCTGAAACAAGGAAAACTCAAATTCATAAAAATGTTCAAACCAAGTACATATATTTATGATCATTCTATACTTAGCAGCTTAAAAGAACATTTTTTCAAATAAAAGTGTAATGAAAAGGTACAAGTGTAAAGGGAATACCTATTTCACTGGCCTCAACAGACCTGTATTCTAACGTATTTATTAAACTATCAGTGATACCTATGTCTATATACCTCAGAAGCAAAATAACTAACCATTAGGCCAAGAAATCTTCCTGTTTACACCAACTGCTGAATATCTAAAAATCAACTTGGCATTTACACATTATTCTTCTAATAGACAAACATTATTTCTTCTAGGAGAAGGGCTATAACTTCTGCTTTTTTAAGAATGCATAAACGTAACCAAATACTTCTTTTTGCAATACATGAAAGAAAGGAGCAACCCTGTTTATTTTGACTTTCGATTTCACCCTATGGATGCAAAATCATATTAGTGTCTTAGAGAATGTCTTTCTCCGTCACAAGAATAACAAAGACTAAGTGGTGTTTCAAAGTCTAGCTCCTCTGAGATCTTCTGACGGTCCCAGGAATCAGTGATTGTTTCTCTTTTGTTACCCCTAAAAAACTCTGTCTCTACAATTCATCACTTAACATATGCCCCATAAGGAAAGAGGGCCTGTCTCATATACTTAGATGTTCCTACAAGTGCCTTTCAGAGAACAAACCAAGTAACTTCTGGCAACCCAAGTCAATTAGCACTTCTAAGCACCTATTCAGTGCCATGAGCCAGTAATGCTCAGATGCGTAAGTCACAGTCCTGGCTCTCAAGAGGTATACTGTCAATTCTGAAGAAGTAACATCATACTATAATTGGCCTACATTCTTTTTAAGGGTTAAAGGTGTCACTTTTCTCTCCAAGCAGTCCCAGGCTCCTTTTCTAGAATTTCCTACCTAATTCATTACTACTTAGCATTTGGCCCCACTTAAGCTGAATAAACTCAAGCTATCATTTTTTCTTTTGATTAAGATCAAGCACTGACACAAGGCTTTATCAGGTGAAAATCTGTCTGCAAAGGATATGGTGGAAAACAATCAAGACACCCAATGTGATCACTGCTATAAGAGGAAATAATGAGCTACGTCATTAGAAATTAAGAAACAAACAACTAAAGACTCCTGGAGGGCCCTGCCTAGTCAGCATCAAAACATGTTTAGCATTATGCCATACAAATTATATCCCTTTTTCTAGTTTTTAATGTATGCTTTATCGACTAAACTCGGCTATGTCTGTTTCAAAAAAAACAAGCAAAACAAAAACTGGAATTAACTTTCTACTTTTGGGGATCATATCTACTTCTTCCTTTCCTTCTAAAAATTAAATCTGAAATTAAGTTGATGTAAAAAATAAAAGAGAAAAAAAAATACCAACAACAGCTCAGAACAAACTATGGGATTGTGCTTTATGGAAAACCCTGCCCATACACAGCCCTCAAAGAGTTCCCACAGAATTACTTATCAGCTCTCTAAATTGTAAGCAGGGTCTTTAGTACTGTTACCTGGGATTCATCCCTCCTCATCCGGCCTACATACCTTCCACAAAGAGGAAAAGGCCCTTGAATAAGGGATGGCCCTCCAGTGAGTAGGGCTTTATTCTGAGTCTGGATAGCACTCCAGAGCCCAGCAGTGAAATCAGAAGCTAAGAATGCTGGGACTTACCAAGACTCTCTCTGTAGAAGCCAGCTCATCTCAAAATCATACCAATGGAATGCCCAACGGATGACGCTGGGAAGGCTTTGCTGAATGGATGCATTAAAGTGGACCACAGTTTGGCTGCTTCCTTCCAGTTAAATCTATTATAAACTTGGAGTCTGACCAAACAGAATTAGGAGAGAAACAATCGGAAATATCCCCCTCTATTTTAGAGCCCAGAATATCAGAAGTAAAGGACTGCTATAAGGTGATACCATCCAGCTGCCTCATTGCACACATGGAGAAATGAAGGCCTGATAACAATGACATGTCCAAGATCTCACAGCTAATCCGTGGTACGAAACTTCAACAAGAATACAGTGCTTTCATCAATACGTCAACCCCACCATGGATCAGAAACCATCACACAGCTCTCCAGGGTTAGGATACCTCTTCAGTCCCACAGAGAAATAACTACTTCCTTGGCCGATGCCCTTCTTCAGGCACTGGAGTGAAAAAAGCTGGTTTTGTCCATGTGGAAAAGAGTTATAAAATAAAATACAAAGTACCAACCTGGAACAAATGTAGTAAGGTATTCAAACCACTGCCTGATTGTTGAGTCACCAAATAAATACACCACTTTTCTTTGTAAGCATTCTGTGATATTGTCGGGGTCATTAAACTGGCGCATCTTAAACTTTCTGGGCCTCCACTGGTCTTTGTAATAATACCCAGAAGGAAAAGTTCCTGAGCCTTGAGAGAGTTCTAGATTGTTCGTTTCTGAAAAGAAAAAGGAAAAAATAAGATATTCTCAAAGTCTCTTCCAACAAACCATACATGGAAAATGCTCTAAGAAACAAAATTATGCCCCTGTATTTGTTAGCCTGCTGGTATACAGGTAACATTTCCTGCCATCACATCTCAGAGAAATCCCAGACTTTCCCCTTGCTACAAAAGGTTCTCCTTTGCACAAAAATAGGAAGATCTGAGATGTGTGTGAGGGTCTTGGTGGACAGAAAGGGAAAAGGGGACTTTGAGCACTCCCCTCTGATTATGCATGTTTTTATCAAAGTCAAAAATAAAAGCAGGCAAATAACCATGGAAATGTGTAGATATAAGTATTGTCCAGTATTATTCCAGAATAAATTTCTCATACAAAGGCCTATGAGGTAAGTAACACCTTAAATTTATATTTGACATATGTATAGTAAAATCAGTCCACTGTTGCTCAGCCTATTATTTTTTTTAAGATTTTATTTATTTATTTGACAGAGACACAGCGAGAGCAGGAACACAAGCAGGGGGAGTGGAAGAGGGAGAAGCAGGCTTCCCGCGGAGCAGGGAGCCCGATGCGAGACTCGGTCCCAGGACTCTGGGATCGTGACCTGAGCTGAAGGCAGACACTTAATGACTGAGCCACCCAGGCGCCCCTGCTCAGCCTATTAAAAGGGAAGTTTTAACCTATGGGTCCTATAATCAAATATGAATTCAGAAAACCACCACTTAATACAGAGAACAAACCAAATACACACACTCTAAAGAATTATTCCCCACAACACAGAAGGCTCAGAAGGTCTTTCTGCACAATGAACAGTATTTAAAATGCAGCAGGGGCGCCTCGGTGCAGCGTCTGCCTTCTGCTCGGGTCATGATCCCAGGGTCCTGGGATCGAGCTGCACATCGGGCTCCCTGCTCGGCGGGAAGCCTGCTTCTCCCTCTGCCTGCCACTCCCCCTACTTGTGCTCTCTCTCTCTGACAAATAAATAAAATCTTTAAAAAATAAAATAAAATAAAAATAAAACGCAGCAGCAGTGTGTACTCATGGCTGCAGCCTAGCTACACGTGAGGACACAAGCACCAGAGCACATTTCAGAGGGAGAGTCAACACCCTTCTGCCCTAACACCTCCCTTGGAAACAACACATTTTACATGCTTCAAAACAGACAGGGATGGTGAGTATTTCTTGTGAGTTTACTCTGCAATTAAACATATTATCTCATATGATGCTAATGGTAACCCTTTAAGGTAGGTCCTGTTGTTACCCCTACCTTTCAGAACAGTTAAGCAACTTGACCTAGACCCAGAGCTAGTCAGTGGCAAAGCCAGGACCTGATCCAGGCAGGTGAGTCCCAACGCCCACGCTCTAACCACTGTGCTACCTCATCTCTCAAAAGCAGATCATTGTAGATGGCAGCTGTTTTCTTTTTGGCTTTTTTTCCTGAAGGAGTATACTTATTCATTTTCAATCTACAATCTTTAAAAATCACCAACTATTTTATATCACTTCCTTACACACCCCAAGGCTCAAACCTGGATCATAATCCAGTAATTCTATAATCTCACCTGCTAAACCACAATTCGGAATCCAAATGTTTATACGACTCAGCGATTTAAATTTGAGCCCCGTATTTGTGACTATTTCCAGTTTATCATCTTGATACTATTCTTATTACTCAAAATTATTTTAGTTTTATTCTCTTCAAAGAAGATGCCCTATTTGACAGGTAGTGCATATTTCATCTTTTAACTTAGGCATCTGCTAATTCTTTGAAGGTTCAGGGCCTAAGCAGAAAGGTAAACAGCATTTTTTAAAACTTTACTTGGAAGAAAGAAAGGGGCGCCTGGGTGGCTCAGTCGGTTGAGCGACTGCCTTCGGCTCAGGTCATGATCCCAGGGTCCTGGGATCGAGTCCCACATCAGGCTCCCTGCTCGGCGGGAAGCCTGCTTCTCCCTCTCCCACTCCCCCTGCTTGTGTTCCCTCTCTCGCTGTCTCTCTCTCTGTCAAATAAATACATAAAATCTTTAAAAAAAAAAAAAAGTGATTTTGAAGTTACAATTTTTACCATGGTTAATTCAGGAGACTCGGCTCTTCTGTGTCAAATACATGTTATAAAGAAAAGTATATATCACACAGGAAACAATTACCATTTCCATTCAAATGTTAATTATATTTACTACCAGAGTTAAGTCAAGCAAAGCAAATCAATTACTGAACCTGACATTAATTCTTTACACAAGCAGCACTAGATAAAAGGACATAATTTTATTTTATTTATTTTTTTTTTAAAGATTTTATTTATTTATTTGTGTGAGAGAGAATGAGAGAGAGCACATGAGAGGGGGGAGGGTCAGAGGGAGAAGCAGACTCCCTGCCGAGCAGGGAGCCCGATGTGGGACTCGATCCAGGGACTCTGGGATCATGACCTGAGCCAAAGGCAGTCGCTCAACCAACTGAGCCACCCAGGCGCCTAACAGGGCATAATTTTAAAGTGAAATGCACGTACCTACATTGCCCTCTTATGGTCAGCTGAGACAAACATGTTTCCTTTTTTTTTTTTTTTTTTAAGATTTTATATATTCATTTGAGAGAGCACGCGAGCAAGGAGCCCGATGCGGGGCTCCATCCCAGGACCCTGGGATCATGACCTGAGCCGAAGGGAGACACTTAACCATCTGAGCCACCCAGGAGTCCCCAACACATTTCCTATTTTAATAAGACTTTAAGGAGTCTGAAGTTGTTTCAAAGTCAGCATTTCTTTAACCTCGGAATTTTCACATAAGATATGAAAGTCTCTAAAACTGAATAAATAACCCTAATATACTATGCATGTGGAATAAAAGTAATTTTAAAACAAAAATGAGTTATTACTTAATTTTACAGTTATCTTAAATACTGATGGTGAAGGAAGAAGTTTTCCTGGAGGTGGTTATAAAGGCAGGTAAGAAGATCTTTATGCAAAATCAGAAGGGATAGTCTCGATAACTTGCAAGTAAGGTCCCTGCTTCTCTAAAATGTGTTAGCTTCTCTTTAAAACCCATAGTTTATATTTTCTTCCAAAGGGTGTCATCCCATGTCATTCATTAGCCAAAATGAGGGCTATCTGGGCCACAAATGGAACAAAATACGGGAGAAAAATGCAGAGAAAAAAATTTCCCTATACTATCCAGAAAGAGCTGGATCAGAGATACAGTGTGAATTAAGGGTGGGACGTGTGTGTGAGTGCATGTTAGTGCACATGTCCCTTAATTTTATGGCATGGAATTATCATAGAACAGAAAAGTAAAAGGCAGGCCAAAGGGGAGTATATAGTTCATGAGAGGAAAAACAAGACAAGACGGAGAAGAAAAAGAATCAAACAATTTCTTGCATTGGGGAACACACAGGAACACTTGGGTACCATCTCAGGGAGATAAGAAATGAGGACAGCATGTGTGGAGCTGTTTAGGGATACCCTGTCAAGGGCTGGGACTATGAGAAGGTCCTGGCTACACAGTCATTACCATGGCTTGAGTTTGAGTCTCTTGAGTGCCCCCTAGAAAATCTTGGGAATTTAATTTTTTTTTCTTTATACTTTAGTCCCCTAAAAGCTAAGCACTTTACAGAGGTAAGCTAAAAATAGGTATAGGTAGAAATACCTATAGATTCAAAGAATGTTGAAAGGGACCTCAGATAATGGCTAGTCTAAATATCTTTTAAAGGTGAAGAAATTATGTCACAGAGTGACTTGCCAAAGTTTCCCAGGGTTCTAGGGACAGCTAGTGGTAAAGGTAGTCTGTCTACAAAGGCACAACCTTACATTACTGGTGCAGTTGTGGGAGTGGGCTTCCTACCCCCAAATGGTATCAGTTAGTTGGATTTTATATGTAGGATATGAGTCCTTTGATTTTCTAAGTTAACCAAATAAAATGTATTCTGTATGAAGTATTTTTTCCAACAACTGGAAAGTGCTTGTCTTTAAAATAGCTTTGTCCGGAGCACCTGGGTGGCTCAATTGGTTAAGCGTCTGCCTTCGGCTCAGGTCATGATCCCAGGGTCCTGGGATCGAGCCCCGCATCAGGCTCCCTGCTCAGCAGGGAGCCTGCTTCTCCCTCTCCCTGCTGCTCCGCCTGCTTGTACTCTCTCTCTATCAAATAAATAAATAAAATCTTTAAAAAAAAAAATAGCTTTGTCCAATTTGTTGCACTACCACATCAACATCAGAGTGACGTCTCATCCATAACGGCACCACTCTGATTTTCACCAAGCAACATCCAACACTATTTCATCATTCACTCCATCATTCGGATGGATTTAGATTTTAGAGAGTTGATGGATTCCACTACTGCAGACAAACCCGAACAGCAAGACGTCCTCCACCACACCTCCCAAGCACGGTAAGAGATAGCAGAAAAGGGGCTGGACCTGAGTCAGAGGCTCTGGTTTATATCTGGCTCCACCTCTCCAATAGGAGACACCAGAAATCACTTAAACTGTCATCTTATTCATCCCCTGTATTCTCAGAGTCTGGTCTAGCATCAGACACAGAGCAGATGTCAAAATGATGACTGAATGAGTCTCTGGAACTTGGTTTCATTATCTACAAAACGGATAAATTATGAGTTATTTTGAAGAGCTATTGTGAAAGTCCAATACTATAGTAGAATTAGTAGTATTAATCATTTTTAATATAAAGGGCAACACTGGAATGCTGCAAATATTCTCTATGTTCTAAACATTCTATATCTTCATGTGGGTGGTAGTTACACTTTATTCATTTTCTAGTGCTATGTGACAAACCACCACAAACTTAAGTGGCTTAAAAACAAGGGACATTTATTATCACAGAGCTCTGTCTGTCAAGAGTCCAGGGCATGGCATAGCGGGATTCTCAGAGTCTCAAAGGTTGAAATCAGGTTGTCAGCAGGGTTGTGTTCCTTTCCAAAGACGAGAGAAGTCTGCTTCCAGGCTCATTCAAATTGTTGGCCAGATTCAGTTCCTTGTGGTTATAAGACCGAGTTTC